TTTTTTTTATGGATGGGCACTTTTTATTTAACTTGTTTTGGACTGAATCAATGCAACACCCGCTGAGTGCCATGAAACAGCTTGAAAGTCATATACACCTAGGATGACTTGAGGGTAAGTAATTTATGGGCTAATTTTCATTTTTGGGAGAACTAACCCTTTAAGCCCCTTTGCGAAAAGAAGTGCATTTTAGACTGCTTTTAAAAAGAGAAGGTACAGATATAATATACTTGAAAAGAATATAACTTAAAATGAATAGTTTAAATGCTTTTTTGACCCACTTAAGTAGGATTTAAGTACATCTTTATATGTAATTTCATGATGCACAACAAAAGATTAATATATAATGATTAAAAATGCACTTTAAAGTAAAACTTTCAATTTCCTAATATTACAAAGTGTTTTAAGAAACAGTCATGAAAGTGAACACTTAAGTGGTCTTTAATTTCATTAATATATATACAGGTGCATCTCAATAAATTAGAATGTCGTGGAAAAGTTCATTTATTTCAGTAATTCAACTCAAATTGTGAAACTCGTGTATTAAATAAATTCAATGCACACAGACTGAAGTAGTTTAAGTCTTTGGTTCTTTTAATTGTGATGATTTTGGCTCACATTTAACAAAAACCCACCAATTCACTATCTCAACAAATTAGAATACTCCATAAGACCAATAAAAAAAATTTTTTTAGTGAATTGTTGGCCTTCTGGAAAGTATGTCCATTTACTGTACATGGTGTATTGTGGGTAAGAGCATCTACCTTGCGTGATATCTCCCAGGGTTTCGTGACAGCACCCAGATCACACGCTGTCATCAACATCGACCTGAGAGATGTTCAGAAATGAATTAGAATCAGAAATGTAAAGGTATTTGGTGTGTGTTTGTGCAGGCCTGTTCATATGTAACTGACCTGCACATGTCTCTGTGTTCCTTCACGTTCCAGTTGTATTCTCCTTTATTCACCAGCTCAAAGAAGGAATTCCTGTTCCTGTGAATGAAAACTCCATGAGCACTGTGCAGTTCACAGAGCAGCCACATGGCGGCAGTACAGGGTCACATACACGCGCGTGTGAGTGTGCGTGCGTGTGTGTGTGTGCGTGTGTTTGTGCGTGTGTGTACACGCGCGTGTGAGTGTGCGTGCGTGTGTGTGTGTATGCGTGCGTGTGCGTGTGTGCACGGATAATCATTTATAAGAAATGAACTTTTGATTTCATGGTAACTTTAAGTTTACCTCGCTCTGCAGGATCATAACAGCATGGTTGAAATGATGGTGTTCTAGCGTGGCTGATGTCCCATAAAGAAGAGAGAGAGCTGATCCCGTCCTGAGAAAGACACGAATGTCATTCAGTTCATGTGCAAAGTGAAGACATCCAGCATTCAGCTTCATAAAACGCTGTAAGCTTTAAAAGACGTGAGTCTAGTATTGGACTAGCGGTTGAGTAGCAGAGTCTCACTTGGCCTGGAAAGCATTGTTGGTTCCTCTGTGGTCCAGATCATGGCAGATGCAGCCCACTATCAGAGCCAGAATCTCCATCTCAGTCAGAGTCTCCTGGAAGCCGGCCGTCTGCAAATGAACACACATAAACATAAATGTCACACTTCTGTGGTAAAGGTACAAAAACAGAGGCTGAGGAACACACACACCGCAGCTTTAACGCTGATAATAATATTAATAGTATCAATGTCCGGGAAACTGCAATGAAGTTTTTTGTTTTTTTTAAATAGTATGCTACACTACAAGCTACTAACAAAGTGACCAACAGCATTTAACAATTTAAGAGGACTATCTTTTTAATTGAACCAAATAATAATCAGATGGGTTTTTCAATATCAACTTTTACTGATAATGTGACGAGCAAATAAAAATAAAGTCTTTATTAATATTCATACCAGAATATGTGCTCTGGAATAGTTTGGGGTCGGTCAGATTTTGAAATAATCCTATGCTCATCAAGCCTGCATTAATTTGATTTAAAAATACAGTTAAAAAAACAGTAATGTTGTGAAATATTATTAAATTTTCAAGATCTATTTTGTATTTGTATATACAGTCAGGTCCATATATATTTGAACACAGGCACAATTTTTATTACTTAAGCTGCTGACCAAAACATATTAAAGTTACAGTTATATAATGAATATAGGCTTAAAGTGCACACTCTGAGCTTTAATTTGAGGGTATTCTCATCACAATTGGAGGAAAGGTTAGAGAACTACAGCTCTTTAATATGTACCTCCCCCCTTTTTCAAGGGACCATAAGTAATTGGACAGATGACTCAAAAGCTGTTTCATGGACAGATGTGGGCTATTCCTTCGTTATTTATACATCAATTAAACAGGTAAGAGGTCTGGAGGTGATTCTCAATGTGTTATTTCTCCAATTACATTTGAGCCCCTGAAAATGTGGGCTGTGTATAAAAATGGTTGTAATTCCTCCGCACTCATGAGAGCTCGCGTAGTAGAGCCGTGTAGAGCAGTCTGCAATAACATTTTGTCTCCTTTTTTGACGAAAATAAAAAGAGGTTTTTGGTAAAGTTTTTATCTTTTTGAATATATTTCGTCAACGAAATTGCATGTTGATATAGTCTTAATTATCGTTTATTGACCTTATTGTCGTCTCGTCTTAGTCATGGGAAAATGGGCATGGGCATAGTCTTCGTTAACGAAATTAACACTATTCCTAAGCATTTTATGATATAGTTTTTCGTGCAACCCCTTGAATTAAAGCTTAAAGTCTGCATTTCAATCTCATCTTCATTATTTTATTTCGAATCCATTGCAGTGGTGCATTTCGCCAGTCTTCAGTGTCACATGATCCTTCAGAAATCATTATAATATGCTGATTTGCTGCTTAAGAGACTATTTATTATTATCAATGCTGAAAACAGTTGTGCTGCTTCATATTTTTGCATAAGCAATGATTCATTTTTCAGGATTCCGAATGGAAAGTTTCAAAGAAGAGCATTTATTTGAAACAAAAATCTTTTATAACATTATAAATGTATATCATCCTTGCTGAATAAAAGTATTAATAAAAAAAAAATAAAAAAAAATAACTGACCCTAAACTTTTGAGCGGTAGTGGATGTGATTATTATATTTATTATCATTTAAAGTTTACAGTATACAATTCTAAACGTCAATGTCTAAAAGTTGTCATACAACTACTGGGTTTAGTTATGATTTATTAAAGTAATCAAACCCATTCCTAACACAAAAACACACACAGAGTAGGTCACTCACCGTCAGCATGGAAAACATGCACTGGCATACGTTGAATGCATGTCTCCAGTTATGATACAGAACCATGCGATAGTTCTTCCTCACGGTCAACAGCCACCGACAAAGTGTCTAGAAGGAGAAAGAAGAGATGTGGTGTTACAATACAACCAAAAAAAGCTACAGTAGTTCCTGTCTTCTAATCTGATTGGTCTAGAGTGCTTAAAAACCGAGCATAAAATGTTTTACTGGGACGTCTGGCTCTTTAGAATTATTACCGCTGTAATAACTGTCCAAATTGTACTACTCAATATGAACTTTTATCACATTTTACTTTTATAAATGAATACAGGCTTACGGTCAAATCACAGCCTTGCTGATATTCAATACAACAGCACTCTTGCTTATGTGATATTGCTAAGTTAAAGAAATGCAAACATGTGTGAACCTCATAGTCTATCTTGAATTTCTGCACCATTCCCAGCTCCATAAACATCCGCAGAGCTGCAGTGACCATGGCATCCACATCCAGAGAGAAGTCGTCAAACGATAGTTTATCAATGCCCAGTTCACACACCAGAGGGTGTATTGTGAGCATGGGGGTAGTTCGCTGGCCATCAGACAGGACATTGGAATGTGTTTGAAATCAGATGGGGAGATGAGAGTGTGATCTGTTTAGCATCTCCTTGATAGTGTGTGTGTGTGTGTGTGTGTGTGTACACAAAAAAGAGGGAGAGACGCAAGAGGCAGAAAGGACAGAGTGTGCTTTAAAACATATGCTTTGTGAATGGAACGAAACCAGCGTCAGGATTTTCAGTAATTCGTGTGTTAATGCTGAGTGAAGCTCAGAGTCGTGCTAATGAGGCACTACAAATAGATTCACACACACATTCCCAGATCTAATGAGGGACTGCTGGCAGGAGGAGCTGCGTGTTATGCTGTGACGTCATTAACAAATTCTAATTGTAGATATTTATTAATATAATTATTCGTACCCGGTACTCATAAAGAAGAACAAGAAGAGGAAACCAAAACAAACTGCAGTTTTCACCATCCAGCATGACACATTACACTGCAGTGGATGCTTTTACCCAGTTATTACAGGGACGATCCACATCAAACAATGTCGTAATCTAAAAATGAATTTACTCACCCTCATATATTCCAAACCCATAGTTTTTTTTTTTTCCCCCCCATCAAACACAAAATGAAATATTTAGCAGAATGTCCAAGCTGCTCTCTTTCATACAATGAAAATGTACTGTTATTCATACAGCCAAGTTTAAAAAAGGACAATAAAGAACCATAAAAGTATGAAACAGATGGTTAAAGGCCTCTTTGTTTTTATTTTATGGTTCCAAAGTGTATGATGATCAAATATATGTAATTATTGTTAATAAATATCGATAGCACATATTTATACAGAAATTTATATAAATGGAGAATGTCTTTTTTGATATAAGCAGCAGGATTTTAGAAATAGAGTGCAGATATAGAAACAATACACACACACAGTAATATTTAGTATCTATTATATTTATTTATATGGTATTTTAGTTATTTTTATATTTTCAGTTTTCTTTTTAATTTTAGTTTCATGTGCGATTGTCGTTTTTTATTAGCTTTTGTCTACTTACTTTTTATTTATTTTTATTTCAGTTTTAGTAACTTTAGTACTTCAACTTCTATGCTAAATGCCAGAGCAACATTTCTAATTTTCATTTTTAAAGATTACGTTTTTTTTTTTTTATTTCTATTATTTTATTTGAGCTTCAACTACCATTTTCAATAGTTTTAGTTAACAAAACTGGTCCAACAATATAGTCCATATGCTCAGCTTTTTTGATAGCTTTTTCTGATGAATAGATGATTAAACTCCTGATTTTTGAAACATTTTCTTTGTGTGGAAAAGAGTGGGGTGAAAACTCACGTGTGGGTTTGGTTTATCAGCCTCGAGGTCTGACCCCTGCTTAGAGTTGTGTCAGTGACAGATCGAGAGAGCCATGGGAGCTTATATATTTAGTGGCATATATACATATATATAGTGTGATATTCCTGGATTTGACTTTAAGCAATGGGTTCTTCATTCACTCTTGGAAACATGCTGGTACTTGTCAATGAAATGCTATAAGAGCTCCTGGCAAAATCCAGTTAACACGTTAAAAACAAGCATTTCACCAGAAAATGAACCCATGATAAATGAGGCTTTTCATTAACTCCACGGAGACTATATCAATAATGCACAAACACTGATGAGATATTGAATAGTTTTGTTCTGAATTATACATACTGCATAAACAATACAGTCTGATATACTGAGGTTAATATATCATGAATCTGGTTATTTCATTATTGATGCTGTACCAAACAGCACTGAAATGTCAGACAGTCTATTGGGTATGATTCAGTGACGCATTACTGTTTACCTTAAACTTATCCACCTCAGTCTTTGAGCAAGTGGCGTGATATGACAGCACCTATGGAAAACAAACACATAAAATCCATCACTAAAGCTTCATATTTTATGCATTTCTATATTTTATGTTTATAATATAGACATGACACTAGAATAACATCATAGAGATGATAGAGAGAGCCAACAAACTGGCCGAATTAGACCAAACCCCTGACACTACGAGAACTCAGCGCTGCAGCCCTCTGATTGGCTGATGGGAGTCATGTGAGCGCGGTGTGTTAGAGAATGATGGTGGTGTCCATTCATGACATACAGACTGATTCTGAAACCGATCTGCACTACAGGTCATGCAATATAAGATATATCGTAATATACTGACAATCTGGAATCCTTATAAATACTATCAGATTAATCACAGAAAACAATCCTGTTTTCCTCTAGTTAGAGAAGAGCTTCGAAAACTCAATTAATGCTCACACTCACTCCTATACTCGCTGTAATGTAGTTATGCAGCTAATATAATTAGGCAGCACCCTCACTTCCGCTGTTTCATTTTTGTTTTCTCTCTCATATTCTTTGCTCATTGATGTCAAAAATGTTACAATTTTTTCCCCTTTGCCTCCTTTTAGTTTGTCTTTAAAGTATGTTAATGAAAAAGGTTTTTAAAAAAAACAAAAACTTTCTGACCTTCTAAACTGAGCAGTGTTATTTTTTTCAAAGCTGACTTTAAAAAATGAACTGGAATGTCAGAATTTTCGAATATATCGTTTGTCTCCTTATGTTTTAAGCCTATAAAATCTGCTGTATCATATTTTATTCACATATTTTTAAGGCCTCTAAATAATCAACATGATCAAAACTTTGCTGAAAAACCTATTGTACACAATCTGCTACATGCCTTCTGTCTTCTGATTGATAGCTCAGACTTTTAGCAAGTGATGTAATAATTTCAATTTTTTTTATTTAATTACAATTTTTAGTAAACATAAGAATGACATATATATATATATAAACATTCAATAAAATGTTTTTAGTTCATATGTCAGGCTTTACAGGGTTAATAACATCTGCACTCAAGCTGCGTGAAAAAAAAAAGTTCTCATGCTGATCTGATCTGAGATGTTACAAAGAACATTTTCAAAGAACAATTTCCTGTTTGCTAGGTGACATGAAAAAGTGAATATTAAATATGTTGTATTCATTTTACATCACAACTATTATATCCTAAAATGTCCTGTTTATTTCCAGCTATAATTAAAACAAATCTTAGATGTTCAGTGTGGTCTCCACTGTGGACAAAAGTGTGCATTAAAAATAATAATATTAGAAATCTTAATTAATTTTAATAATTTATTAGTAAATGTTGAAATTAACATTAAATGTTTTGTTAATATTACTTAAAGGGCCTGTGCTAACAACGAATAGTTGTATTAATAATGTTAAAGATGAAATATTGTAAAAAAAAAAAAAAATTTTTTTAAAGTACAATATATATATATATATATATAATATTTATTTATTTTACAAATAAATATTGTAAAAAAATGTATTGAAGACTGGTAGTTAATGTTAGTTAATGCATCTACCAATGTTAACTAATATGTAATAGAACCTTACTGTAAAGGGTTTCCGTTTAACTTAACTCAGTCAGTCACGGCTTTGTGAGAAAAAACAACAACAACCCTACAGAGCAGCTGAGTGTTTTACTGTTAACACACCATCATCTGTGTTTCCAGACGATCGTTTGTTCAATTGAAGTGAGTCGATTGAACACTTTGAAGGTGAGGATTTATTCCTCTGTGTCCCACTGTTTCATTGTTAGATTAAAGGGGTCATATTCTGCTCTTTTATAGCATTTTAAGTCCGCTTATAATGTCAGCAAGGGTTTCTTGCACCAACAGTAATAATTTGGTTTGAATTGATCATTTTCCACCCACTGACTGAATTAAACAGGCTGTTTTTTTGGTGTGACAGCTTAGTTTCAATAAATCTGAAGATTTGTGTAGCGAACATTATTGTTTGTCTACTTAGTATATTAAACTTTTATTTCAAAACCACAAGGAATATTCAGTTTTGGTGATTTAATAGATGTAATAGAGAGATGACTGCTGGGTGAGATGGTTGAGCGTCAAACCTACTCTTGAGTCAGGAGTGAATACAGCTCAAACAGGAACTAGGTCAGTATATTCCACCAATCACATGCTCCCATCTTTACTTGTGTTGAATTATCCTACCAGTCATAAGTTTCTAATCTAACAACCCACCAATTATCAAATCTCCAACTAATTTACCACCACTTTGGAAACATCATAGCAATCACGGTCTGGAAGTGTGTGTGTGTGTGTGTGTGTGTGTTCGGAGAGACATACATCCAAAGCGACAGACTGTTTGGCCCAGGACTTCTTCACTTGGTCATACATAATGGTGTTATTGATTCCCAGTCCACAGAATATCACAAATGCCTAAAGAGAGAGAAAGAGACCATGGAGTCACACATACAGTAAGCCCTCAACAACCAATTTAAACTTCTGAAAGGGGTTTTTAAATCTTCGTTTCAGGGGTTTGAGAGTGTTTTGCAAGAATTTTGTTCTTAAACACACCTAAAACATTAATCATAAAAAAATGACAAAAACACACAACAAAACTACCAAAAATGTAACTAAGGCTACGTTCACACTGCGAGCCTTAGTGCTCAATTCCGATTTTTTTCTCAGATCCGATTTTTTTGTGTAGCTGTTCACATTGTTGTTTTAAATGTGGCCAATATCAGTTTTACAGTGTGAACAGATCATGGTTCTGAACTGACCCGCATGCGCAAAAGATCAATACGAACAGGGATTCCAGGTTTACGCAACAAAATCCGCCCAATTGCTTCTCAAAACTAGTCCAAAACTAAATCAACCATGTTCAGGGGGATAAATATCGCGTTAGTGGGGTCGCATCGACCCACGAAGTTGAAAAACATCCCGCGGCAACAGTGGAAAAAGTAGCCAAATTCCGCGGGGAAACTGTGCAACACTTGCGCAGCGCGAGGTCATACGGAAGTAAACACGGAGGACATAAAGTAAGCGATTATGCATTTATTTATAGTGTGATCTGCTGCTGAATCCGGCGAAATTATGTGCAGGCAATATGAAAAATAAAGACAAGGATGTGGCAAAAGACAGCAGAGTTTTGAAGCTTTTATGATACGAGCCCTCATGTTTTGTTTGTATATAGAGCTGTCACTGTAATTCTTATGAGTTCTGACCACAGACTGTAGGTTCTGACACATCACACTTCCACTGATTACCTTTCGCTACTGTCTTGATAACTTTGGGTATGTAAAATCATTGAAGTGTCTCCCGTCAGCGCGGAATTATGACGAATGTCGATCTAGAGTGACGTAAAAGCCACATGAAATCCGACATGACTGTTCACACTGCGGTCGCATTGCAAAACATCTGACCTGTATCGGATTTAGTACCACATATGGAAGTGGCACAAATCAGAATTGAAAAGATCAGATTGCATGCGGTTTGTGCTGTTCACACTGTCATGACAAAAACAGAACCGAGTCACGCGTGAGCAAAAAAATCGGATTTGGGTCACATTTGCCTGCAGTGTGAACGTAGCCTAAGGGTGTGTTCACACTTGTCATGTTTGGTTCGATTAAAACGAACTCATGGTGCGATTGCTCTTAATGCGGTTCATTTGAGTAAGTGTGAACGCTGCCATCCGAACCCTGGTGCGCACCAAACAAGAGGACCGAGACCACTAAAAAGATGGGTCTCGGCCCGCTTCCAAACGAACTCTGGTGCGGTTCGAGTTCATACACCACATACATTCATACATTTCATACACCAATCAGTCTGTGCAGAGCTGAACACACCTATTGTTTGGGGTATTCGGTAAGTTTGGTCAATATACGTCATTCAACCCGACCAATCAGGTTGTGAACATAAGACTATGCCTTTAGGTTTGGTATCTTTAGGTTTGCTGTCAAAAATGCCAGTGTGAATGCTAAGTGGATCAGAACCAAATATATTGTTTTCTTTTTTGGTCCGGACCAAACGAACCAAGAGAGCCGAACTACAAGAGTGAACTAAAAGTTCAAATTTTCCTAAAAGGAAAATAAAAATGAAAAAAATTTAACTATTAATAAAAATGATAATTGTATTTCATCGATACTAAAATAACACTGGTTTGAATGGTCCAGAGAAACTGAACCCTTATTATAATTGATTTAATAGTAGTGGTCCATTTTCAAGGAGTCCACTTTCCAGGCCATTAACTTTATGAATGCAAAGAGAACCGGGTTCTTTTCCCCTCAGTTCAGGTTTTGGTCCACTTAAAGTGTTCTGAGTTTTGTTTCAAAAAAGACTCAAGACATTAATATGGAGTTGGTCCCCCTTTGCAGCAATAACAGCTTCCACTCTTCTTGGAAGGCTTTCCACGAGGTTTTGGATTGTTTCTGTGGGAATTTTTGCCCATTCATTCAGTAGAGCATCTGTGAGGACAGGCACTGATGTTGGATCAGAAGACCTGGCTCACAATCTCCATGTAGTTCATCTCAAAGGTGTTTGATGGGGTTGAGGTCAGGGCTCTGTGCGGGACAGTCAAGTTCTTCCACACCAATCTCATCCAACCATGACTTTATGCACATTGTTTTGTGCACTCAGTCATGCTGGAATAGAAAAGGGTCTTCCCTAAACTGTTCCCACAAAGTTGGAAGCATAGCATGGGATAGTTCACCCAAAAATGAAAATGCTGTCATTAATTACTCACCCTCATTTCATTCCAAACCCATAAGCCCTCCGTTCATCTTCGGAATACAAATTAAGATATTTTTGATGGAATTTGAGAGCTCTCTGACCCTCCATAGACAGCAATGTAATTAACACGATCAACGCCACCGCGTTCGCGAGATAGTGACACCAGCCAACACTTTAACTTCAGTAAGGAAGTCTCTTGTTCAGGCAGCAGCATTCAAGCATTGTCTTATTCGACAGTAAGTGCCCTGCGAAGTGGACTTCACATGAAATTCCGCCATGATTCCAGTTCCAAGGGAACGAACACATTACATTCAAAGTGCATTAAAGTGCGCGAGACGTGAATTTATATTGTATTTATTTACAGAGGTATATTATGTCACACTTCACACTTCTCTAGTAAGTTTCGTCTGTGTGTGAAGACAGTAGCGCAAATCCGTGAATGAATGTTCCGAAGTGAAATAAACTTCAACGGAATAAAGTTGAATGGAATTGAATTGAATTAAAGTTGAATAAACTTCAACTTTACTGTTCAGTGCACTGATGTCAGACTCATTTTGGATAATAAAGTTTATTGTTAAACTGTTAAATGCCCTGCCTCCATTACGTATCTCTGTCACGTCATTATAAGTGTTTGATCACCACATTTGAGTGATCATTGCAAAAAATGTGTTTATGTATATATATTCTGTTTATGTATATAGTGTATTCTATATATAGTACCAGTCAAAAATTTGGACACATGAATGGGAAAGTGTCCAAACTTTTGACTGGTACTGTACTATAATATACACAAAGAATATCGGCCAATATATCGATATCGGCCCTTTTCTACTCCCTAATATGGGTATCGGTCCCCAAAAAACCCATATTGGTCAGGCTCTAGAGAATACAGTAGGCCATAATTCTCTCAAATCACTCTGAGCCACTTGCAATGAACTAATTGTGAATATAGCATGTGTGGGTTTATGCATACATATGGACCCCTTTAAAGTGAATCTTTTAAAGGGGTCATATGATGCGATTTCAATTTTTCCTTTAAAGCCATAAAGGAAAAATATTTTATTTATGTATTGTATATAATGCTTTCGTATTCTCTGTCAATGTGAGCCAAATGTCGCTTTTTGTCTTTTTTTTTTTTGCAGTTGAAACTTATTCTGTGGGGATGGGATTGAGATAAAACTTTAGGATAAATCTTACTATAATAAGTATTATATACATTTTTTAGATTACATTTTTAGTAACAATTTAGTTTAGGGACCAGTTCTCACTATTAACTAGTTGCTTATTATCATGCATATTGGCTGTTTATTAGTACTTATTATGCACATATTAATGCCTTATTCAGCATGACCATATTTTAGATCCATTAATCCACCCCATACATAAACTTAACAACTACCTTACTAACTATTAATAAGCAGCCAAAATTGGGAGTTTATTCAGGCAAGAGTCATAGTTTAATAGCCCTCAAACTAAATTGTGACCATATTTTTTTTTGTATTTTATTTATTATCAGCTATATAAAGCAATTAAGAAAAAATACTTTATTTATTCATTTTACATGTTTATAATGTTTTATATAATGTAAAGGATGAAATGTTACAAAGCAGCAGGTTGATACCGCTTCTCATTCTCATTCTCATTTATTAGTTTATTATACATTATTTCATGTACACTTTGGTTGTGTAGTGCACATGTTTATAGTAGGCATCTGGGCATCTCACCCATACAAAACATTTGTAGTATATACTGCATACTACAAAAATAGTAGTATGCTGAATACAATTCCAAACATATCCAAGGACTTAAAAAAGCTACAGTATTTATATGGATATAAAATCTTTCGTTTATGGACAGTGAGGTTTCTGCATTAAATCCTTTCTCTCCTCATAGTGCTGAAATGTTTCCACACTGGCTTTATACATGATTTGAAAGAAAAGAAAACTGGTTCTGAAACTATGGCAGTGATGAAGAAAGAGAGCGAGAAGGGGAGAGAGAAATCTTTTGAATGAAGACATCCTTGACTTTTGCTTCTACTGGCTGTTTGTGCTTATAATGACTTTCGGTCCCTGACAGAGTCCTCCCACACACACACACACACACACACACACACATCCACCCACACACAGTGCACTTGTGCAGAAGCACACACACACATGCTGATGTGACACACAGATATACATTTAAACAGACATTATCCTATATAAACATGTTTGTCTTCCATTCTCTCACACACATCACTGAACTCTAGCACACAACATAATACAACACAGCCGATCAGGGAACATCAGTACATACTATATGTAGTGAAACAACAGCGCTTAACTGGATAACTTACCTATGATTTGGTGGTTACTGTTCCAGATAGGGACACATAGGACAGATCTAATATGGAAGCCAGAGAACTGATCTGCCTGAAGACATTACAAACAAACTCTTGTCACCACATCAAAAACAAAACGATCTGACTATAAGCATGTGAGGAGAAGTGAGCAAAAATATGAGCTCATCTGAAGACACGGTGTTATATAATCTTGTGCTGCCGGCATTTTGAAGATGCACAAGAGCCGACAGAGGTCCAAGGTTTTAAGCAGAGCAGAAGTCTCTCTCATCTTTAATCATGCTCTTTAAAGGAAGATTCTGGGTTAAATACAACTCTTTCTGTAATATGCTGTCCATTACCACAGAATACAATTTTGACTAGTTCCTCAATTATAAAGTTAAAATGTATATTACTGCAACAATATATAGTGTGAAACTGAGACTAGCCCTTTTATCATGTTCAAGACTGTTATGATTAGAGATCGACCGATATATCGATTTACCGATATTTTCCCCGATATTTAAGGATTTTACAATAATCGGATATCGGTTTTGTAATATCGGATTCACCGATAAACGCCGCCATCTTGTGGATGTTTTGAGAATTGCGCGCAGGATCACCATTGCAGCGCATCTGAGGGGAAACAAGACAACAACAACGGCGTGCACGGGTACTTGATTTACTGTAGTTAGTAAACTTTATTTAACATAACAGCCATTAATGCACAAATTAGATGTATTACATAAATGCCTGATATGCAGTTTATGCAGCTTGGCTCGAAGAAATAGAGACGAACTCACGGAGTCACGTAAAATAATCCGCCAAGTCCTGTCGCAAAAAAGACGTAACTTTGCGTGAATTAAATAATATGCAGCCTTCCAGAGAATATTATTCAGTGAATTAACATTATCCAGTGAATTATTCTTCCCTCTTTAGCCTATTAAACAGTTTATAAACCTACTAAAACTGTAGTTTAAAATGAAGTTGATATGACTCCTTTCCTTTATTTTCTCCATTTGAAAACATTAGACCTTCTACATTTATTTTGCTTATTGTTAATATTAGTGTTGCTGCTGATGCTTTAAATAAAATGTTTTTTTATTGTTGTAGTATGAAGATTAATTTTAACATGAAAGACTGCTAATTTTCAACACTTTTTTTAAGATGACTGAAAGGAGGAAAAACCAAAGTGAAGTATGGACTTACTTCACTCAGTCATTTATTTACTTTATAACAGTAAATAAATACCGGTTCTGCATATCGGTTATCGGGCACATAAACATGCAAATAATTGGTATCGGTATCGGTTATAAAATATCAATATCGGTCGATCACTAGTTATGATGTTAATTCGAGTGTATTCAAGTGTAAACCTTTAAAGGTGCAGTAAGTGAAAATCAGCACCCAAACAATACATTTTATGAATATTTGCTAGCCGTCTGGTTTTAATTATTTATTTATTTTGTGCTCTTTCCTGCATGGCGTTAGCAAGATCATGGGTTAGATTACCAACAAAATTCACATACATGAGCTTATAAAAATGTTTCCCTTTATATGTACTGAACTAATTGATCGATTCCAATTGTATTCATTTATTTATTGCTGTTTAGGGATCTTACTTCAGCGTCGAAGCGTGGGTCTTGGTAGGCATCGCTGATATTCACAGGAAGCCCAGTGGAGGCGACCAGCTCTGCAATGCTGTTATTAATCAGCCAGTCAGAATAGGACGATTTTTCCATGCTGTCCTTGAAACTGTGAATAAGACGAAGAGGAATGACATGTGCTGCTATGTACAAACCCAAGACAACCATTACTATTACTATTGCTCATACTTTGGCTTAGAGATGACATCTAAACTCTACACCCACAGTATTAAACTTGTGTGCAACTCGTCTTGCACCATTTGTGCTTTGGACATGAAACTAACTAATATCTCTAACTGTGTGATTTATTGAGAAAGCATAGCGCTCCCTTGTGAAAATAAGTACACTTCAGCATACTTTTAAAATGAGTATGTACTGTACAAAAATATACTTTGTAAACTGAAGGTAATGGCTTTGGACACTTAACTGCATATTAACTACACTTGAACGAAAGTGTTTCTTAGTTTATATTTATATTAAATGCATTTATCTAAACTTTAGAGTGTTTTTTTTCTTAGGACTTAATTAGGAGTTAAGTACATCTTCCTATGTAATTTCATATTTATTTCTATTGTCTTTGAAATATGGTTAAATTTTTTTCACAAGGGGTTCAGCTCCATTTAACACATTTTACCATGCTTTATATCCATTCAATTAACCAGACTTCTCCTAAAAATCTGTGAAAATGTCTGCAGATGTCATTTGGGCTTCAATGTTATCATGTAAACACCTGCTGCTAGTACTCAAGTTAGTGTTCTCTTCAATTACGCGACAGTTCGGACCCAAAATTACAATGTATAAAGAGACCTGCGGGGATAAGCAGGTGGAATTAAATGCAAGCTCGGACCAAGCGATCGAACAAAGTGTGAAAAGAGCCTCAGACGCTTCAGCCCGAGGAAGAGCTGACGGATGCTGAGGTCCACATGCTGAGCGGAGCGTCATTCCCTCTCCAGTAATTTACAGCTAACAAACTTTCCTCTGCATTTGAATAAGGCTCTATGGAGCCTGCAAAAGCAATGAGAAGTTAACGCTCCAACTCTCATAAACGCCCACGTGCAGCCGGAGAGACAGTCCTGTTGTAGACTCTCTCTCTTTTAATCTCTCTCACGTGGTACATTTCAGGCTCTTGAGCTCTGGGCTGAGAGAGTCTGATCAAACATCTTCTCTCATACTCTCGATCACACCCCAAAGATCACACATGATTAACGGCGCTGCGAGCTGCTGTCTGAGGAAATGTCGGAGTCAGAGGGATGAATGGGAGCGTGTGAATGTGTTGTGCGGGGTGCAGCTGAGCACGCGAGATGTGTGTTGTTGTGTGTGCGTCTGGGTGAGCAGCAGAGACGCGTCTCTCTCTCCCGTTTGGCCCCGAGCTGTTTCAGAGCGCAGCAGAGGACAAATCATCCTTACATAATGGCTCCGGCTGTACCTTTAGAGAAGCCAACACAGAGGATGAAATCACTAAATAACACACATAACTTTGAGAAAATCCCCTGTGTATGACAGTAATATATTACTGAAGCTGTATAATGTCAAAGCTTTGAAGCAGTGTGACATATGTTGTGCATTTTTTCAGTCTGCTTGTGTTTCTAAACAATAGTTTACAAGTTTATGTGTTTGTATAAACCTTTAGTGATAAATGAGTGATGTGTTCTATAGAAATCTAGATTTTTTTTGAAGTAAGCACACCTGTGAAAAGTAGACGTTACAGCATACGTTTAAAAAGAGTACTTAGTAAGAAAATAAAATACTATAAAAGAAAATACTTAAGTGTGAACTGAATGTAAAGTTTTCGGACACTTAATTGTATGTTAAGTGTAATGAAATTAAAACCTATAGAACAAGAATGTGACCAAAAGGAAAACTTCATACCGACGTACATTAGTCACACAGCCTGTTAGGAGCTATACTATACTATACTAGCTATTATATATATATAAGTGTGCGAATTAACCTGCGCTAGTCTCTAGCAAACTGTTCGCGCAACCTCTGCGCATACGAGACGCTTCAGATCAATGCTGTGCCATGCTTTTACTACTGATGGATGCTTTGAAGCAAATTAGTTTGGAACCAATGGTTTTTATGCATACATTAGTTTTCTGACCCTGCATAGACAGCAAGGGAACTACCACGTTTAAGGCCCAGAAATGTAGTAAGGACATCATTAAAATAGTCCATGTGACACCAGTGGTTAATTTTATGAAGCTACAAGAATACATTTTGTGCACAAAGAAAACAAAAATATCGACTTTATTCAACAATTCTTCTCTACCGTGTCACCATCTGCCGCCATTCATGAGAGTGCACGACTATTTTATCGTTGCTATCTGTGGAGGGTCAGAGAGCTCTCAAATTTCATCAAAAATATCTTAATTTGTGTTCCGAAGATGAACGAAGTTACTTCGTACTCTTACGGGTTTGGATGGAACAACATGAGAGTGAGTATCCCTTTAAACTTGGGGTGAACTATCGCTTTAAAGCATGATAAATATTATTTAAAACAATCACTTAAAATGCACAAAGTAATTTGTAAAGTGATTTGACATTATTACAGTGCACTTTTTTTTTAAGTGTGTTAAACAGTCATGAAAGTGCATTCTCTTTAAGCACACATAAGTGGCATTTTAAGTTCATTAATATTATATTATCATCAGCAAGTAAAGTTTTTTTTAATACTTTTGAGATTTGAAATTCACTACAAGTGCACATTCAATACAATTAAGTGCACTTATTTTACACAGGGGTGTGAATGCTTGCCTGTGAAAGCTGGTTTTGGGTCAGGTGAAGCACCGCAGTGTACATACGTGTGCTCCAGAGACAGGACAGCGCAGAGCAAATCATATATGCATATATCATATCTGACCCATTTGAATTTTACGCAGAATAGTCGACTTTATAGAGCTATGAAGGAGGTCAAATATCTCAAATGGTTAGACAGCCATGGCATTTTAAACAGCACTAATGAAGAAAAGAGAAGACAACACACTGTGCCATCATGCATACAACACCAAGGATGTGTTCCAGAAAGCAGGTCATGCAACACAGATAAGCAAGCTGATAACCTCAACCTCATCTCGAAGCTGTAGATAAAAATCTGTAAACATCATATCTGTACATAATTCCATAGTTCTATATAAAATGTTCTCCAGTTATTTTGACACGAAAAAAAGCCTTGAACTTAACACTGGCAAGTGAAATCTAACAATTTATCAGCCAATGGCTAACAGACATTATTACGTCACCTAGCGCAAAATGTATTGGCATATGCATGTGATTTACACGCAGTAGAGAGCTGATTTTGAAAATAATTTGTGGTTTTAATATCTCAGAGCACTTTAGCGAGTTGTAAAGTGACTGCATGTGATGCTTTGTTGCTCAGATGGTGAGGGTGGGCTGAGCGATGCATGCGTTCAGATGGTGATGGTGTGTGATCTCCCCAGACAGACCTCCGCTGGAACATTAGACAGGTGCAGAGAATGAGATGATATGTGTGACTGAACACACATTGTAGTGTGAAAGCTCCCATATGGCAACTGAGATCTCCAAACCTGTGCGCTTCGTCGTCATTGGCTACACAAAACGAACAACAGACCTATCTTGCACAAAGGAACATGTTTGCTCTTATTCCTGGGCTCCTCAATGGCTGTGTGCTTGCAGATCTGCAGCTGTGTGTGAGTGTCTGCAGTAATGTACTGTTGTGGTGTGTGTTGTTGTAAGGGCTGAGCTCAGGGTTTTGAGACTCCACTAGTGCTGAGTACTGGACATACTGGAGCGCTGAGTGTGGGCTGCAGATAACAGATATCACACAATAACCCCGACCTACTGCACACCCTACAGCACTGCCACTAAATACACCACACACGCACAAACTACAACATCATAACCCTGAGCTACTGCACACGTGACCCTACAGCACTGACCTTTAACAAAGTCCCTTTAAGACAAGCAAGGCTCGAAATTGCGACCATTTTTTAAAATTTTTGCAAATTTAATCTGTGCGACCTCAACATATATTTGGGAGCATTTGTGCGAGTGCATATAATTGTTGTCATGCAACCTGTTTTCATATCTCTAAAAACGATCAGAGTATGTGCCTTCTGTGTGCTGATACGGTGACCGGTCTGTCATTCTATCAAACGTTACATAACCAATTAAACTTCAGCTTTACATTGTTAACTTTAATGCAGATTTTAGATTGGTTAATATTAGCTGTCAATCACCCAGTCACTGCTTTCCGCTGTCAGGTGACGGAGCTAACTACCGCGGGGAATGTAAAGGGCTGAAGAAGAGAGAAAATGAAAATAACACTGACAGATTACTTTTGTAAACCGCCTAAAGTTACAAATAATGGTGCTGGTGATAGCGATCATGTGGTGAATGTTGATCCACCAGCCGAAAAGAAGGCGTACAGTTTTCGGAGAGAATGGTTGAAAGACTTTGAGTTGCTTCGCTATGAAAATGCACTGTGCTCTATGCACTGCATTCACTGTAAAGCCTGTGGGACGGAGTTTGCAGGTAACAGCGTTCGCCACTGAATCTACACATTTCGTAATTGTTGCTTTACGATGTGTGGTTTGACAGTATCGAGTATATTGCAAAATCCAAAGAAAACGTGCACGCATGCATGACGTGATGAAGTCTAGTAGGTTAGACTAGTGCGCGTGCGCATTTAGAGTGCGTTCTTTCGCTGCATGATTCATTCTATTAAAATGCATCACAAAATTCAAGATATGGGGTCTTTATATCATTTCATATAGTTAATCAATACCACAAGAAGAGTGCCGTTTCTTCCTCCAAAAATCAGCATGATTACAAATGTGATATTGATTATTATTTTTATTATTATATTATTGAACAGATATTGATAACTGTTCAATAAACAAGAAGTTAATATTAAGAGACTTACGTTTTAGACACCATATTGCCTGTTTTTGCTCTATTTCGCCAACAAAAATAATTCCAAACTAAGCCACAGCACTGTTTTGCGTCTCTGAGCAACATGACAGCGTTTCGTTCCTGAATGAATCATTCGTTAAATGATTCGGTTCAATCGCAATGACTCACTTATTAACAGTGACTTGCTGACACCTACTGGCGGTTTTAATTTCACAT